CACAATGTCAAGTGGCATTTTAGAAGCCCAATTCCCATAGCAATGGATTGTGAAATGGCCATGGCAACTGTCTGGAAAGTCAGACAGCTGTGGTGGTCACTGCAGAATTCATTATTGTGATGACTCCTTTAGAGCAGTGTTTCTCAACCTTGGCAACTTGAAGAACCCGGTGGGCTCTCCTCTCCCCAACTAACCTCCCCACCCCCTGCGGGGGGGGGGGGGGGGGGGGGGGGAAATGTGGGGAGTTGAAGCCCACACGTCTTCAAGCTGCCAAGGTTGTGAAACACTGCTTTAAGTAATGCTAGTTGTGTGACCAGAGAGTGAGTCATGGCACTGTTATTGCCAGGGAAAGGGTAAGCAGGAGGAATCTCATGGAAGTAGGAGCAGATCTTCTCCCTTCTTCAAGTAGCAGGTCATAAGAATGTAAGAAGAGCCCTGGAATTTAATTAGGCCAGGGATCCACCCACTTTGGCATTTGGTGCCACACAACAGCCATCAGATGCATTCTGGAATCTCAAAGAGATAGACAGGAGACCTCACCCTCACTCCACATCCATGGTATTCAAAACATTCAGAAGGTAGAAAGCTCCAACACACCAAGCAACCTCTGATAGCCCAGTTCATGAATTTGTCCAGTCTCCTTCAAAAGCCATCCAGATTGGTGGCCATCACACAATTGGTGGCAGACAATTCCAGAGAATACATTTCCTGTTTTAAGGAGCCAATCCACTTGGTCCATCCCAGTGGGTTGCTCGGTTGTCACAATTAAATTTGGGTGGAGACTTTGGAGCTGAAGCAGAGAATCTTCACTGGTCAACAGACCAATGCTGAAACAACAAAGCTGGTCTTACACTGCAAGCTAGATCAGGCTAAAATGAGGTTGGGCAATTTGTGACTTGGTGTGCTGTGTGCACTTGGGTGTAGAAGCACTCAGACCTGCTCCTGAACCATCTTGTACATGATCCTTGGCTGCTGATTGCCTGAGTCACCTTGTGTGAGATGGGCGGCTATATAAATATGATTGATAAATAAATAAATAAGTAAATTTTCACTGCCCTTTAGATTTCTCCTCCCCCTGACTTTGTTAGTGCAGTGCAGTTAGCCATGGTTAACCAAACACTTGCCTTGGACAATTAACGGATTCACATGGCACACAGAACCATAAGCAAATCACACAGATTGGATTTGCACAACACACTCAATTAAAAGCTAATGTTTTAAGGATTGCACTTACCCAATATGCTTAACTTGATTACCCAATCAATTTTATGGGTTTGTACAATACACTGGACCTGAAGCTAACCAAGCAGGCTGGATTTGCCCAACTCACGATGCCACCAAGCCCTGTCTCCAAATCTCCAAGCTTTGCATATTCTACAAATATGGCCACCTGACCTGGTAAATCACAGAATGTAAGAGTTGGAAGAGATCTTGAAGATCAATTAGTTCAATTCTCTACCAGTGCAGAATCCTTTATTACAGAAGTGTCTTGGGTGACCCATCTCCTATATCTTCACTGGTTGTCTTTGGATTTCAACTAGCTCTTGCTGTAATGGAAGACTTGAGTGAGGAGGTCCAAGGTCATGGGGAGAGTGAGAAGAATC